GCCTAGGATCCCCCAGTGAGGGGCTGGGGTGTGGCTCAGTGGTAGAGTCCCTGCCTAGAAACCCCCAGTAAGGGGCTGGGGCTCAGCAACAGAGCATGTGCCCAGCATACACAGTGTTCTAGGGTTCAATATCCTATGGGGGGAAAAATCAGGGCTGGAAATGTGGCTTGGTTGGTAGAGTGCTTTCCTGTGATTCACAAAGCCCTAGGTTCAATTCCCAGCACATGAAACTAGGAATGACAGCACATGACTGCAATCCCAACACTTGAAAGTTATAAGAAAGTCATCTTCAGGTATATAACATGAGCTGAGGCCAGCCTGAGTTATGTGAGATCCTGTCTCTGAATCAACACACATACACGCACACACGCGCAAAGCAAAGCCCTTCTCCCAAACCTGTAAAGCCTTCTGCTCCTGTGGAGTAGTTTCAACAAGAGTAAGGTCAAGAAATACTTAAAGCCAGGCATGGTGCACACACCTGTAATCCCAGGGCAGAGGCAGGCGGATCTCTGAGTTCAAGGCCAGCTGGGTCAGCATAGCTAGTTCCAGGACAGTCAGGGCTACACAGAGAAACTGTCTCAAAAGGAGAGAGAGAGAGAGACTTCAAGCCAGGCATCTGGGCATGTGCCTCTTCTCGAGCATGAGAGGCTGAAGCAGGATCATGAGTTTGGGGCCAGCCTGGGCTACACAGCCAGACCCTACTTCAATAAAAAATAAATAGAGGAAAGTTGGGATTGTTGCTCAGTACCGAGTGCTTGCCTTGGCATGCACAGTGAAACAGAAATGAAAGGGAGGGATACAGAGGAGAGATGGGGCAGGGAAGGAGGCAGGGAGAAAGCTGGGGAGTGGCTCAATGGCAGAGCCTTGCCCACCATTCACAGCCTGCTGAAAGGGAGAACGGGTGGGGGGAGGGAGGGCAGGCAACTTTTAGAACATCAATTAGGCCACGGGCACTGTGGCTAGAGCAACATCTGCCTCTGTGGAGAGGCTAGTGATGTGGAGGCCACAGAGTCCCTTTGAGGAAATTAGCCTTGCACTGGGATGAGTTCTGGGGCTGAGCACCCTAGCCAGTCTCTGCTGGCAAGAGGAGCTTCCCAGGAAGCTTTTTTTTCCAAGGAAGTTTTCTGGGAGGATAAGGTGAAAGAGCAAAAGTGATGGCCAGCTGGAGAATCCCTTTTTTGTAGAAGCACAGGAAAATAGTGATTACAGGAAAAGAAATAGGACACTTTGTTTTTCCCTTCTCGAGCTGGGGGATGGAACCCAGGGCCTCAGCGTCTGAGATAAGAGCTCTAGCAGTGAGCCCACACACAGACCTTTCCTCGGACATCCTAGTCAGGAATGTGTTCCCTCAAATCTCTAGATTGTCATCTTCCTCTTCCTCTTTCTTTGTTTCAAGACAGGGTTTCTTTGTGTTTGTGTGTGTGTTTTGTTCTATTTGTTTGATTTTTTTATTTGGTTTTGCTTGGTTTGGTTTCGGGTTTTTTTTTTTGTTTGTTTGTTTGTTTGTTTGTTTGTTTGTTTTTTAAAAGACAGGGTTTCTCTGTGTAGCCTTGGCTGTCCTGGACTCACTTTATAGACCAGGCTGGCCTCGAACTCACAGAGATCTACCTTATTCTGCCTCCCAAGCACTGGGCTCAAAGGCCTGTGTAGCCACTCTCAGCTCAAGCTATACTGTCAAACCGTATGCTTCCGCTATAGAGTTTTCAGTTTCTTCCAGGCTGTGGTGCGCTCTCTCTCTTTCTCTGCTTTTGGTTTTATTTATTCATTGTAGCAACTTTGTTGTTGTTATTGTTCTGTTTTGTTTTTTGAGACAAAAGCCTCATGTATTCCAGGAAGTTGTGTGGCTGAGGCTGACCTTGAACTTCTGATACTCTTGCCTCCACCTCCCCAGTGCTGGCATGCACCCCACCATAGCTTCCTTGTGCAGGTGTATTGGTGTTTTGCCTGCATGTGTGCCTGAGGGTGCCAGGTCTTCTGGAGTTACAGACAGTTGTGAACCGCCATGTGTGTGCTGGGAATTGAACCTGGGTCCTCTGAAAGTGTGGAGTGCTCTTAACTGCTGAGCCCTAATTCCAGCTCCTCCCCAGTTATTTTTTACTATTAAATCTGATTATGTAGATCAAGCTAGCCTCCAACTCACCATCCTCCTGCCTCACCCTTCCCAATGGCAGGATCACTCGCTTGGGCTACCAGCCTTGGCCTGTGCACCTTTCTGAAAGGGCAGAATGGGTTCTGTAAAATGTCCTGCACACACCTGGCTTGGTGGTGCACAACTTTACCCTCAACACTCAGGCAGAGAGAGGCAGGAACCTCTGTGAGTTCAAGGTCAGCCAAGGCCACACTGTGAGACCCAGTCTCACAGGCTAGGATAATGTATGCCAGACAGATCCTAAGCACTGGGTATGGGCGCCATGGGGTGGGGGCCGTGTTACTCTGACGTTAGAGGAAAGGGTTAAAGTGGCCTGCCCACAGCTAGGCCGTGGGGCTGGGCTCTCAATCCAGGAAGCAGACTCTGACTGTGGGGCCCCATCAGCCCCCACTGCTGTTCAGATGTTTGTTGAGTGACTGTAACTCATGAGTCACATGTCTCCTTTGGTCCCCTCCCTAGCCCAGCCTGAGAACCACGCAGAAGCTCAGGAGGTCACGATTGGCGCCCAGTCCGTGCCCGTTGCCCGCTGTGTCTCCACGGGGGGGCGCCCACCTGCCCGGATCTCCTGGATCTCATCCCTGGGTGGAGAGGCTAAAGACATTCAGGAGCCGGGGCCACAGCCTGGCACAGTCACTGTCATCAGCCGATACTCCTTGGTGCCCGTGGGCCGAGCAGATGGCGTCAAGGTCACGTGCAAAGTAGAACACGAGAGCTTCGAAGAGCCGATCCTGTTGCCGGTGTCCCTCTCCGTGCGCTGTGAGTGAGCAGGACGGTGGCTTTCCCTCACCCTGCTGTCCTGGCTGGCCCCTGTCTGCGTTCCTTTCCATCAGCCAAATCTGGCCTGTTGTCTGTACCAGTTTCTGAAGGCCTGGCAGGTGTGTGCCTCTGCGGTCTACACTGGGTGTCTTTTTAAGCCACAGTGGCCTGCAGCTCAGAGACCCACCTGCCCGAGGCCTCCCAGGTACTGGGATTAAGGCAGGCACCATCACATCAGGCTTACGCTGGCTTCTGTGGGTTCCCGCCTTCCTGCACCAGAATGAGAGCTAAGCTGAGAGGGCTTTCAGAGCCTGGGGGTTCACTTACTTCCAGTTTCCAGGTGTGAGATCAAACAAGAAAACAGAAAAATATCCTGGATGGTGGTGGCACACGCCTTTAATCCTAGCATTCAGGAGGCAGAGGCAGCAGATCTTTGTGAGATCAAGGCCAGCATGGTCAAGAAAGCAAGTCCAGGAGGATAGCCAGGGCTGTTACAAATTGAAATCCTGTCTTTTTTTTTTTTTTTTTTTTTAAAGGACTTGGTTTGCCTGCAGACAGCTGTCCCTGCATTGTCTTTTCTGACTTGCAGGTGATACAATATTCCCTTACGGCCTTCATCAACTATCCTGGACACTGCTGATCCTCGCGCTTTTGCCACACTTTATTCATTCATTGATTCATTTTTGAAGACAGGGTTTCATGTAGCTTGGTTTAGCCTCAAACTTCCCAGACAGCTGAGGACGACCTGCTCCTATGCAGCCCCCGACCCAAACCTGTAACCCTCGCTCTCCACACAGGGCTGCTCCCCTGCCTGAATCAACTGGATTTCATTCCTGACCTCAGAGTGTTTGTGGTTTTGAGGTACAGTCTGAGGTAGTCCAGGCTGCCCTCATGTGGTTGAGCATGACCGCTAGGAAACTCTTAACCCGGCAGACACCACTTTCCAGAGTGCTGGGATTACAGGTGTGTACTGCACCTGGCCCTGTGAGGCGCGGAGAGTGGACCTAGGGGCCTTGTGCATGCTGGGCATGGACTCGAGCCCAGCCAGCCTCAGCCCTACTGCTCACATAGCCTCCCCGGGGCTTCCGCTGACCCCTGCTCTCTGTTTCCTTTGGCTGCTAGGGGCCTTGAAGTTGCCCCAGCCGTCCCCAAATGTCCAGGGCTTCTCCAGAAACTGCGTACAGTGACAGCCCTCGGTTTTATCTAGGGACGCCTCCACGCACTCAGCACACAAAGGCTGGAATCCCCCACCCCTGGCTCATTTTTGTTTTATTTTGTTTCAAGTCAGGATCTCACTGTAGCTCTGGCTGGCCCTGAGCTTTCTACGTAGACCCAGCTGTCCTCCAACTCACAGGGACGGACGGACCTGCCTCAGCCTCCCCGGTGCTGGGATTAAAGCCGTGCATCACCGTGGATGGCAGTTTTGTTTTGCTCCTTAAAGACTTACTTTAATATCTATAATTATTTCTATGTGTCTGTGCCGGAGTGTAGGCCAGAGGCAGCAGATGCCCCTAGAGAGCTGGAGGCACGGGCGAGTCGCCCGATGTGGGTGTTGGAACCAAGCCCACTGAGAACAGTGCATACTCTTAACCATCTCTCCAGACTTTGTTTTTTTGAGACGGGGTCTCTCGCGCCTGAGGTTAATCTTGAGCGCTATGTAGCTAAAGGTGACCTTGAACTCATCCTCCTCTACCTACCTCCTCAGTGCCTGGTGACAAGCATGAGCCATGCCAGTCAAACCCAGTACTTGCAGCGTACCACCGTCAGCTCACTGTGGCAACTGACCCAGGATCCCAGTGGGGTGGTTGTGCCCTAGACTGTGTGATGAGTCCCCCTACCTCGTCTGCAGTGTCTCCTTCCAGCCATAGTCATCCTGAGACCCTCAGTGTGAGCCTGGCCACCCTGGCTTCCTGTCTGTCTACACTGGCTGCCCCAAACTGTCTGGATGTACTCTCCCATTTGCACTACTCTAGGCATGTTATGTCACACATGAAGACACATACACACAACAGGATACCTGTAGTTGCTTTCTGGTCCCTGCCTGAGCTGACATCCATGTGGCTTCCTGGGTGGGGTCTACTCTGTTTAGAGCATGTGTGGTGTGGCCTGCTAAGCCTAGTTTGTAGTGACTGATGTCATCTATGCTGCTAACTTGCCCCAAGTTCTGGATTCCACTTGTCTCTGAGTCTGTCATCCCTCTCTCTCAGACCCTCCTGAAGTTTCCATCTCTGGCTATGATGACAACTGGTACCTTGGCCGAAGTGAGGCCATGCTGACCTGTGACGTTCGAAGCAACCCAGAGCCCACAGGCTACGACTGGAGCACGTGAGTGACATGAACCCTAGATTGAGCGTGAGGGAGGAGGGCTGGGGTCTGAGGGAGGAGAGGGCCTGGCCTTCCAGGTCTGCAGAAGGAAAGCCGACAGTTGGAATGTCCGGGTAAGCCTGCTGTCCCTGGACACCTGCTATGCTGCTCACATCACCCCATACTCTTAGGACTTCGGGCGTCTTCCCATCCTCCGCAGTCGTCCAGGGTTCTCAGCTGCTCGTCCACTCTGTGGATCGGATGGTCAACACTACCTTCATCTGTACCGCCACCAATGCCGTGGGGACAGGCCGTGCTGAGCAGCTCATCCTGGTGCGAGGTAAGGAGGTCTTGGTATTTGAGTATAAAGCCCAGTGGTTTCTCCCTTCGGGGTTTGGGTCTACTTTGGGGTATCACTGATGCTGCCGTAGTTTGAGAGGGAATCAGACTTGCCTCGCTCTGCACAGATGAGCAGTTTGTCCATCTTGGTTGGCCTGCAGGTGTAGGCTCTGACCACAAGCTGTGACCAGGAAGGAGTGTTGGCAGAGGACTTAGGAAGTGGGAGCCTGTGCTGGGGTGTCATAAAAGCCAAGGCCTAAGCTGGGCATGGTGGACATCTGTAGTCCCAGCACTTATTCAGGAAACCGAGGCAGGAGGATTGCTGTGAGGCTAGCTTGTGCTACATAGCAAGACCCTGTTTCAAAGAAAGAAAGAGAAGCCCCAAAATTCAGTGAGACAAGGGAATTAGAAAGCCAGCTTGGGTCTATGGTAGAAGCAAGGTCTAAAGACAGCTGTGAAGCTTTGTCCCTGGGAGGAGGAGGACTGTCTTAGTGCACTTGGTTTTTGTAGCTATCAACATACAGACCCACACAGAGCAAGAAATAGTTTGCTCAGTCATGAGAACCACAGCCAAGGCCCACAGCTGGAGATGAACCAAGGCTGGGAATTCTCTTGAAACCTGGAAATCCAGTCCCAAATGAAGCCATATATAGTCAGAATCGCCCCCAAGAAAGAGGGAGAGACACTGGCCAGGGCCTATGACATGCCACAGGAATCAGGAAAAAGTCATTCTTGGAAACATTATTAGCCAGACATGTTGAAGACTGAGGCAAAAGAAAAACAAGAGGCTACAGGGACTACAGAGTGAGTTCTGATCTAGTGCGGGCTTCAGAACAAAACTATAATCTCACAAAATAAAACATAAGAAGAGGCTTAGGGAAATGGCTCAGTGGTAGAGCCCCTGCCTAGAATCCCCTGTGAAGGGCTGGGGGTGTGGCTCAGTGATAGAGCACTTGACTAGCATGTTGAAAACCTCGGTTCTGGCTGGGTGGTGGAGGCAGAGGCATTCAGGAGGCAGAGGCAGGTGGATCTCTGTGAATTTGAAGCCAACCTGATCTAAGGGGGAGTTCCAGGACAGCTGGGGCTACACAGAGAAACCCTGTCTAGACAACAAACAAAACAAAACAAAAAGCCCTCAGTTCTGAAACAAAAAAGAATTAGAAATACTGTTGCTGGTGCCACACAGTTTGCCTATGCAAAACGTGAATCTGAAGCAGGGACCCTACCAGGCAGGACCTGAGCCCCTCAGGAACACCAGAGATGGCTTAGACGGAAGATGAAAGCCATAGCCTGGCCCTGTGGTGCAGCTGGACACGCCCTTCTTGAGAACACACCCTTTTGCCTGGACACCCAAAGGCAAGCTGACATGCCTGTGGGAACACAGACTCACCTTGCTCATCAGCTCTGAACCCTTGGGACATGTGCTTAAAGGAAAACACTGTCAAACAGGGCCACAGTTCGCATACAGAATCATCCTTCATCACACACCGGAAGAACATGCCAGAAGCTATCTCTGTATCTAGAAACTCCGCTGCAGGGATTTTGAGTCACTCGGTCATGTGCTGAGCAATCCCTACTGAGGTCCCCTCTCTAAAGAGAGGTTTCTCTCCGCTCGGGGACCCATCGGGTGTGGATTCTGTGGGCCTCACCCAGCCACAGCTCCTTGCTGTTGCACGCAGAGACAGCACTGGGCATCACGTAGCAGAGATAGAGAACAAGTGTGTGTGTACGAGACAGGGTCTGGCTACATAGCCCAGGCTATCCCTGCCTCTGAGTGCCCCAGCCTTCACCTCCGAAGTGCTGAAGAGACTGCACTGCTGTGCCTGCCTTACGTAGTCCCAGTCTTGATTAATGAATGGTCCACTCTTCAGTCAGCTACTCCTGTACCCTAAGTGCAGGGAGAACCTTTGGAGGGCCGGAGCGATGGCTCGGTGGTTAAGTGTGCGTCTTGCTCTTGCAGAGACCCCCACACTTGGGTTTACAGCACCCATGCTGGGCGGCTAACAACGCCTGCCGCAGGGGCATGTGTACACACACGTTGAGAGAGTGTTAAAAATAAACCTTTAGGAGAGAGAAAGACGCCCTGACTCCCATAAAGCTAGCACAGACCCACTTGTTTCGGGACCCTGTTCCTGGGGAGATAAGAACAAACATCTAAGTCTGCTGTGGTGGTGCACACCTGTAATCCCAGCACTCAGGGAGGCAGAGGCAGGTGGATCACTGAGGTCGAGGCCAGCCTGGGCTACAAATCGAGTCCAGGACAGCCAGGGCTACACAGAGAAACCCTCGAGAGATGTAAAAAAAAAAAAAAAAAAAAAAGAAAAAAAGTCCACGTATCCCAAAATAGGAAGTCAGCAACAGATGAGTGTGTGGAGAACACCACAGTCCAACATGGGCCGTGAATTGTCCTGAGGGTACTTACAGGAGGACAGCCGCTTCAGCGAAGCCCACCCCAGCAGGGGTGATAGCCCACAGGGCTGGGAGCCTGGCGCGCACAGCACACCTGCAGGCAGCTCCACGGTGGAGGGTGTCCGTTCCCGCCCGCTCAGCTTACCTCTGTGTCTCCTCCAGGAGGCTCTGCATCTAAGAGCCTCGGCCCTCCTCGCCTCTTATATATGCTTAGAGGGGGGTGGAGTTGCTGGTGTCTCATCACTTTCTGGGACTTCCCGTAACCTCTGAGCCATTTATGTTCTAAGCCTAAGGCTATTCCCTGGGGGTAGAACATTTTACCTCACTTTTAACACCCTCTGCCTTGAGGTTTCCTTCCAGAATGGAGATTTTAGCTTCAGAGGAAACTGCCACATGACACCACTGAAGACAAGCCCAAAATGTCACACCAGGCACACAGAAACAGGCACACTGAGCCCCCTAGAAATCCAGTAGCTGGGCCAGGCATGTGCACACCTAAGACGCTAGCATTCAGGAACGTAGGCGGAGGCAGGAGGATCAAATAAATGTTCAAGGCCAGCACTGGCTACTTTGTGAGTCCAGAGCTAAGGCTCTCTCTCGGAAAAACCAAGCAAGCTGGGCGTGGTAGTCCAGCCCTTTAATCACAGCACCTGGGGGACAGAGGCAGGAGGATTTCTTTGAGTTGGTAGGCAGCCTGGTTTACATAGCAGGTTTCAAGTCACCATATCTTGGGGGGGTGGGGGAGAGGAAGGAAGGAAATCAGTCCCCTTGGCAGTAGTTGGAGAGGCCCAACTACTCTCACCTTCCAAGGCACTGAGTCCAAGTCCTTCGCCCAGCCACACTCTCGTAGTTCCCACACATTCACGGTCTCACGTGGCCATGGTTTTAAATTCGTAGGGCTGGAGAGATGGTTGAGAGGTTGAAAACACTGTTCTTCCTGAGGTCCTGAGTCCAGTTCCCAGCAACCACATGGTGGCTCACAACCGTCTAGACTGAGATCTGGTGCCCTCTTCTGGTACACAGGCATACAAGCAGGCAGAACACTGTATACATAATAAATAAATTCTTGACGGTGAAAACACAAGTGGACATGCGGTGCCATGTGGCAGAGCTCTGCCGAGAACTCCTGGTCCTTACCTCACAGAGACAGAGACAGGCTGCCGGGCACCGAGGCCCCTCCCTCACCTCCCGGGTGCCCCGAACTTCACTGAAGAAAACTGCAGGGACGTTCTGAGTAGCACTCGGAGAGCCCTCCTTCCTGCCTCTGTGCAGTGCTTAGAGGCAGACAAAGCATCAGCGTCTCCTTTCAGAGACTGCCCCACCCATGCACTCACCCACCCACCGAGGTAGATGCAGGTCCATATACAGAGTAAGGTCCTGTTTCTAAAGAACTTGCACGACCCCCTAAACTATGACTTTATTTGCATGTTTTTATTATCGTATTTATTTGATCTTGTATTGTGTGTTGTTTTGAGGCAGGGTCTCACTGTGGTGGGGACTCATGTACCTAGTATGTACAGGCTGGCCTTGAACTCAGAGATCTGCCTGTCTCTGCCTCCTGCATGCTGGGATCCAGAGCGCTCAATAACTGCACCCAGCATGACGCTCTATTTGCAAACATTACTCAGAACCTGGGTGTGGTAGCCCAGCCCTGCGATCTCAGCGTTTGAGAGCTGGAGAAAAAGATTAGGAAGGTGAGGCCAACTTGAGATTCATGAGATCCTCTCAAGATTCCAAAAATCCTCTCAACAAATCTCAAAAATATAACACTGTGGCTAGAAGACTAGCTTAGAGATCCGCCCCTGCCTAGAATCCCCCAGTGCGGAGCAGGGGCATGGCTCAGTAGTAAAACACCTCAGCAAGGCCAAGAATCTGGACTCCATTCCCAGTGCTGTGAAGGCAAACTGAAAGTGTTGGCAGAACACTCTAGCTTGGCCAGCACAGGGTCCACTGGTAAGCAGCTGTAATAGAATGCCGAGGACATGGGGCTGAGCAACACGGACTCCTGGCCACCCGCTGATGACACTTGTCAGGAACCAGGCACCTATTTGTGTCTCCCTTAGTGGGCTGAGGGCCGTCATAATAGCCCATGGGACTCTTGTATTGCAAAAAGGCACCCAGGTAGGTGAGGCTTTAGATCCCCTGTGCTGTTGATTTCCTTTGTACCCCCACCACTGTTGAGCAGGTGGGGAGGAAGCATGGTCAGATAGGGAGGAGGATCTGAGACCTCCCAAGCAAGGAGATCAGCAGGTGTGATCAGCACCTCCCACTACCTGCTCCCACCTCCACCTTCTGGGTCCTAGTGGGAGAGAGCAGAGGGGTTCTGCTTATATCTGCTTCTCCTGAGCACAGCCCCCCTGTGTGTGCAAGGGGCTGAGACACCACCCCTAACTCTGTTACTGGCCTCATCATCTTTTTTATTGTTTTTGAGGGAGGGGTGAAGACAGCCTCAAACATGGGATTTTACCTGAGCTTTCCCAATAGGTATGACTACAGGCCACACACACCAAAAAAAAAAAAAAAAAAGTGTTTGGTAGGTGTCGAAATATAGGGCCTTTAAGCAAACAACTGAGCCACACCCCAGCCCCTCACTGGGGGGTTCTAAGGCAGGGGCTCTACTTCTGACCATCCTCAGGCCAGCCACTCCCCCCTCCCATCTTAGAGTGTTTGAGATAAAGTCTCACTATGTGGCCCAGGCTAGTAAGGCAAAGACATGATCCTTTGCCTTATTCTCCAAGCACTAGGATGACAGTCATCACCACACATTGATGCAGTCTTCATTTTTGAGGACATGTGGAAACATAGCTAGGCAGCATCAGCTGGCAGCCTCTCCTTATACTGTGCCCATCCAGCAGTGAAGGGTCATGGATACCCCTTCTTCTTCCTTCTCCTTTCTCCAAGCTAGTCACCTAAGTTCTGGTCACTAACCTGTGTCCTGGGTCTCCCCCATACCCTCACCCCCAGATGTGTCCTCTTGACTCCCTCTCCTTCTCTTTTTCTCTCTCCTTCCTTTCTCCTCAGACACCCCCCAGGCCTCCCGAGATGTGGGTCCGCTGGTATGGGGGGCCGTGGGGGGAACATTGCTGGTGCTACTCCTGGCTGGGGGTTTCCTGGCCTTGCTCCTGCTGAGGGGGAGGAGGAGGCGGAAGAGCCCTGGAGGAGGAGGAAATGATGTCGACAGAGGATCCTACGATCCAAAGACTCAGGTGTTTGGGAACGGGGGTCCTGTCTTCTGGAGATCTTCATCCCCCGAGCCTATGAGGCCAGATGGCAGGGAGGAGGAAGATGAGGAGGAGGAAGAAGCGAAGGCAGAGGAAGGCCTCATGCTACCTGCACACGAGTCACCTAAGGATGACATGGAATCTCATCTGGATGGCTCCCTCATCTCTCGGCGGGCAGTTTATGTGTGACCCCGAGACACAGACACTGGACAAATAGGAACGCCAATTCCCACCCCCACTTCCAACCACACCAACGCCAGCCAGCAAAAGGATGGCTAGGGACCGGTTGGACTGGTTCTTCTGGGGCACACTGGAGTTGGAAGGCCACCTCCCCCCCCTTTTCTGGATGGAGGACAAGAGGAACCACACAGCAGACTCCTGTCTCCGGGGCCCATGGTGCACACTCAGGACTCCCCAGAGCTCGCTTTCGGCCCCAGACTAGCCCTGGCCCCGAAACACTCAGGAGCTAATAAATGCCTTGTCAGAAAACCTCGGGGGTGTTTGTAGTGCATCAGATCCCTCCCTGTGTCCTGGGGAACGAGGGGGTGGGGCGGGCCACTCAGTACCAAGGCTTGGAAAGAGAAGCATGGGGGCCCAGGTTGGGAGATCTCAGGCCGCCAGTGCTCCAGCCGCCCTGAAGCTGCTGGGATTTAAATGGTGCCCCTAGCTCTGGGGCTCAGAGGAGTGTGGGGAAAGCTTAAGCTCTTAGATACCGGCACAGAGGTGAGTGGCCAGCATGCTCTCAGAACTGAGCTTGCTCAGGGAGAGAACCTAGCAACCTCAATCGTGGGTCCTGATTGGGGGGGGCAGGGGTCTTTCTGGGTTGTAGAGGGTCCTAGGAACGGAGGGTGGCTTCTGTCTGTATTTGAAGACCTCAAGGCTATAGAGGCAGGGGCCAGGGGTTGGCGATACCCAGATGGCCCCACCTGGATATTTTCAAAGCAGCTTGTCAGTGGGTGCCTCTCTCCTACCCTCCTGTGGGTCTGGTCCTGTGGGAGTTATCAGCAGTTCTGATGTGTCCCTGCCCACACACTAACACACACATAGGTATGGTGTGTGTATATATATATTCACACAGACACACATAGACCACTTACATGCAGGCACGTACTCACACAGATATACCACATGTACAACACGGAAACACACCACACACATACTCTCACATACACACACTTAGATATATATGTACAACATACAGACACACGCGTTCCTTTTCCTTGTGACTCTGAGGGGCCTAGAGCATTTGCTCCTGAAGAAGGAGGTGGCCTCCTGGGACACTAGCGAGGATCAGATGACACCTCCTGTGTGGGCAGAGCAGCCAGGAGGCCTGGATACTGGTTCCTATTCAACCAGTAGTCATAGATCTCAGAGTGCAAAGCCTGTGTCCTCCATGGTGGGGACACAGAAGTGGCCCAGATCACAGACCTCTGTCCTTGCCAAACAGCAACAATGGCAGGAAGCGCTGAGTGTTTGGATGGCCACCACACGCACACACAGGAGGACACACGCTGGAGAGCGGATGCTGACCGTACCCCCTGGGCAGCTTCCGTTCCATGTGTGGGCAGCACTCGAACATCACCAGTGACACCTCTAGGGCTCTGCATCCTGTCCGATCTGAGTGTTCTTGGTGAGCCCGCCCTGTTCTCGGCCATGGAGGGCAGAGATCGCCTGGTTTCTGTCTGTGCGGCAATGCATCTCGTCAGGTCCGTCAGTTAGGAGAGGCACATAGAACAACTGAGACTGGGGAGCCTGGAGCTCTCCTGATGGGCCAGAAAACATCACAATCCCGTAATAATGAGGGGTCCTCTGGCACCACAGAGGGTTTTCCTCCTCGCTCTCTTCTCTTCAGACCAGCACCACAGTCTCCATGCTGTTCCTGTTTCTCTGGCTTTTTTGTTTTAATTACACTTTATTTACTTTGTATCCTCCCCCCCCTGTAGTTCCCTCCCTCCTCCCCTCCCAACCGTTCCTTTCCTCCCCCTTCTCCCCGCATGCCCCTTCTCTTGTTTTTTTATGTTGGTCCTCGAACACTGCAGCTGAGGTTGAACTTGAACCTCTTCTTGCAGCTTCCACCGTGTTCAGGGAGCTTGTTTTGTTTTGTTTTTGAAGCAGTCTGGCTATGTTGCTCTGAGTGGCTGGGAACTCACTATGTAGCCCAGGCTGGTGTCATACTCTCAGCAATCCTCCTGCTTCGGTTTCTTGAGTGCTGGAATTATAGGTGCCTCTAAACTGTCACAGCTGACTCTCCTTGTTCCTTAAAATACCCTGAGGCTGTCCCAGGACCTTTGCACTGGCTATTTCCTTGTCTAAAACACACCCAGAGGACTCAAGTGCCCCTTCACAGATAGCCTGACTTAGTTGGGTCTAGCATTCTATCACTTCCTTGTTCCCTTCCCCACTCTGTCATTTCCATCGTGACATTAGGTAGCATCGAATCTGCTTGTTTGCTGTTGGCCAAGACCAGCCTGAACTATAGTGAACTATAGCGCCTTGAGGGTGTAAACTTCTTGCATTTCAGGAGTTTCTTTTCCTCTACATAGATCACTGTTCCCAAATCAGGCACATAGGACAGTTGGATGAAGCAAAGCCCCTGGCCGTGGTTAGGTGGACAGGCAGGGGATATGCTCAGGCATAGAGCACTTGAGGCCTAGCATGCTTGAGGACCTGGGTTTAGTTCCCAATATAGCCAAAGGCTGGTATGATGGCACACACTAGTAATGCCTACTCTCAGAAGGCAGAGGCAACCAGAGAGTGCCAGCCAGCCTGGGGTACATAGTGAGACCCTGTCTCAGAAATAAAACAATCATTTTGAAAAGTCTGCCATGTGTGGTATCTGAGAGACAGGGCTGGAAGCAGCAGCCACAAGTTCCTCCTAATGACGCCATGCTGTCTTTGTCCTGACAGAGTCGCCCAGCACAGCAGGAGCAGGGGCCACAGGCGGCATCATCGGTGGCATCATCGCGGCCATCATTGCCACTGCAGTGGCTGCCACGGGCATCCTCATCTGCCGACAACAGCAGAAGGAGCAGAGGCTTCAGGGGGCGGACGAGGAAGAAGAGTGAGTGATAGGTTCTGAGAAGCAGTTGGGAGGAAGCATGCCAACAGTTGGGAAACACTGAGTGGGGACCGAAGGGAACATCTTCAAGGCAGTATAAGACAGAGTTATTTATGGTGGCCACAAATAACTGGCATCTTAAATGGAGTGATGAGGAAAGGTTTTTCTCTTCTTCATGAAGTATGGGTATTAGAGACTGTCTTTGAGACCTAATCGGAGCCCAGGCTCCCACGATCTTGTTGCTCTAGCTTCTCTAGAGCTTCAGATATTAAGGGATGCTAAGTGTGGGTTCCCTTAGCATCCCTCAGAAGGTAGAAGCAAGAGTATCAGAAGTTCAAGGTCATGCTCTCTCTGTTGTATAAGACTCTCAAAAAAAAAAAAAAAAAAAACAGCAGTGAAAAAAAAAAAGTTGTATAGTAGCCAGGGAAATTACTCAGTTTGCAAGAACCTGAGTTTCACCCCTAAAGCCCCTGTTGGGGGCAGGGAGGATTATCTCTGTGACTTCCTGGTCTACAGGATAGTCCAAAGAAATCCTTTTTTTTTTTTTTTTTTTAATTTTCTGTGTGTGTTTGCTTGCATGTACGTGTATACACTATATGTATGCCTGGTACCCAAGGAGGTCGTGCGTTGCCATGTGGGTTCTAGGACCAGAACCAGGGTCCTTTGAAAGAGCAGCAGTACTCTTCAGGAGCCATCTCTCCAGCCCTTTATCTATCTTTGAGATAAGATCCCAATGTTGAACAGGCTGGCCTCAAAATCGCAGTCCTGCAGCTATCTCTGCCTCCCCAGTGCTGGGACTCAAAGGCGTGACCACCACAGTGTGGCTTGTTTACTTTTCGTAAAATGAGTCTTATTGTGTGTTTGAGCCTTGGCATGGGTGTGGAGGCCAGAGGACTTGGGAAGTCTCTGGGTGTCCCCTTCCACCTTTCCATATGCTCCAGGGATTAGACTCATGTCCTCAGGTTTTTAAGGCCTTTATCTGCTGAGCCAACTTGCTTGACCTTTTTGTTGTTGTTGTTTTTAAAGGTTTATTTTCTTAGCTAAGCATGGTGGCACTTGAGGAGGCAGAGGCAGGCGGACCTCTGTGAGTTCAAGGTCAGCCTGTTCTACACAGTGAGTTCCAAGATAGCCAAGAAACCCTGTCTCAAAACAAACAAACAAACAAACAAGATTTTTTTTTTCTTGCCTAGCAATGGTGGCATACAACTTTAATCCTAGCACTTGGGAGGCAGAGGCAGGCAGATCCATCTCTGAGTTTGAGGCCAGCCTATTTTACAGAGTAAGTTCCAGGACAACCAGGGTTACACAGAGAAACCCTGTCTTGAAGAAAAATAAAAAGGAAACAAAAAGAGAGAGAGAGAGAGAGAGAGAGAGAAATGAAAGAAAAAAGGACAGAAAGACAAAGAAAATATTTTTTTTATTTCTGTGTGTTTGTCCCCATCTGTCTGTCTCTGTGCATACATACATGCACAGAGACATACATGTATGTATGTATGTATGACTGTCTCTGTGAGTTAGAGACTGTTGTTTACCCCTGATGTGGGTGCTGGGAACTGAACATGGGTCCTTTGAAAGGGCTCTTAACACTGGGCCATCTCTCCAGTCCCCTTTTAAAGATTTAGCCCAGGTTGACCTTGATTTTGTTATTTGATCTTGCTCCCTCCTACATTGTTATTGTGTGTGTGTGTGTGTGTGTGTGTGTGTGTGTGTGTGTGTGTGATAAAGCTATCTTGTTGGAGGTCAAAGGTTTTCTATTTCCACCATTTGAGTTTCTGGTTATCAGGTTGGTGGCAAGCCCCTCACCCAGTAAGGTGTATTGTTTGTGTCAATACAAGCTTAATCAAGTTTTACCCTGAGCATGTACTCACACAGGGAGAAGGACAACCTTGGGTGATGGAGCTCAGGCACCATCCACCTGGGTTCATTGTTTTGAAACAAGGACAGGCCCCACTATGTAGCACTGGTTGGCCTGGGTCTCATCATGTAGCAGGGGCCTTTAATTCAGAGGTCCTTCTTAGAGCTGGGGTTACAGGAGCATGCCACACCTGGCTGAGAGAATTCTCTGACTTCTTCCCAGAGGGTTCTGGGATACCACAACAGTGAATTGCTCAATTTGCCACCCTCACAGCACTTGGGTGGGAGCAGAAATGGTGTTGAAAACCACAGTAAAAAACAGCATTTCCTACCTACTCTGAAAGTGGCCAGACTGACAGCAAGGGCCAATGTGACCAGTCGTTTATTCCTCTGGAGAACCAGAGGCATTTCCTGTAAGAGGAGAAACTACTGTGATCCCAGCACTCAGAGAGGCAGAGGCAGGTGGATCACTGTGAGTTCCAGGCCAGCCTGGTCTACAAAGCGAGTCCAGGACAGCCTAGGCTACACAGAGAAACCCTGCCTCAAAAAACTAAATTAATAAATACGTACATAAATAGTAAAAGAGGGTGAGCTGGGGGGGGGGGGTGGCCAGAGTGCTAACCGCCCCTCCATCTGCCTTCCGCCCCTGCAGACTGGAAGGACCTCCCTCCTACAAGCCACCGACCCCCAAGGCCAAGCTGGAGGAACCAGAGATGGTGAGATGTTTCCCGGGAGCTCAAGACACCCTTTCTCCATACCGACTTTTCCTCCCTGGGGTCAAGCCTGGAGGGGCTGTTGGGCTGGCTGGGCTGGGGCTGGGAGAGGTCACAAAGAGGGATCTTGGCTTAACTTCATGTCCTGCAACAGCCTTCCCAGCTTTTCACTCTGGGGGCCTCGGAGCACAGCCCAGTGAAGACACCATACTTCGACGCTGGTGTCTCTTGTACAGACCAGGTGGGAGTTTCTGGGTAAACTGGGGTGGGTTTAGGGGGTGGGTTAAATGCCCAGAGTCAAGCCTGGGAAGAGTGGAGCGACTTAGAGCATATGAGCTGCCCAGGGACTGTGCCTATAGCAGGGATACCGCCATGGAGCCATTCCCCGAGGTCTCCTCTATGGTGGAGGCATTCCGCTAGAATCCCCTCTGTGATGGAGACATTCCCTTGGAGACCCCTCTATGGTGGATCCATCTCTTGGAGTCCTCTGTGATGGAGACATCTCCTGGTCCCCTCTATGATGGAAACATCCCCCTGATCCCCTTGATGGTCAGGAGTCAGATAAGGAGGCCCAAACAGAAAGAGTTTTCAAGACCTAATTGGCACTCAAGGTTAAACAAAGATTGAGGTCAGAGCTGGTAGATTGAGGTGGAGCATGGTAGCTCCACCCTGTGATCCCAGCACGTGGGAAACTGAGACAGGAGGATCACCATAAATTCAAATCACAGTGGGTTCAACCAACCTGGGCTACAGGGCTAGCATAAGCTGACCAGTGAGATTTTATTTCAAAATAGCCAAGGAAGGAAGCAGGATTGATGACTCAGCAGTCTGACGCTTGCTGTGTCATTGTGAGGACCAGAGTTGTATCTGAGTCACATACGAAGCAGCCCCCAGCTTTGAGGGAGCAAATAACCTCTTCCGGCCTCTGCACAAACACTAATACACACGTTTACATACAAACACGAGTATTTTCAAAAATCGAGGCAAAGAAGGCTGAAACCAAGCCTGATGTAGGATGTAAACTCGTAATCTCAGTACTTGAGAGTCGGAGGCAGAATTACCATGGTTTCGGGTCAACCTGTGCTACACAGTGAGACTTTGTGTAAAACAAGACAAAGCAAAGGAAAAAAAATGTTCTATGATCACGTACCCACTTGCCATCCCAACACTAAGGAGCTGGAGGCAGAAGGATTGGGAGTTCAAGGTCATCGTTGGCTACAGAGTAAATTTAGGAACAGCCTGAGCTACATGAAACCCTGTTCCAAACAAAGTGATGGAGGGCAGTCCCGGGTCATAATTCGGTTGGTGCTGTCTTGTCCAGCATCATAAAGCCCTGGGTTCAATCTGCAGCATTCTGAAATGGTGCTGGTCCAGACCCGGGATCCTAACACTCAAGAGGTAGAAGCAGATCTTTTCTACCAGAACAGCCAGGGCTAAACAAAGAGACCTGGTCTCAAGGGGGGGGGGGGTAGAAAAAGGCAGGAAAATTGGAAGTTCAGGTCAGCCTTGGCTACATAGTATATTCAAGGCCAATCTTACAAGTCTTCCGTACAAGAGACCTTGGTCCAAAAAAAAAAAAAAAAAAAGAGGCTGGAGAGACAACTTATTGGTTAACGACATTTGCTGTTCTTCCAGAGACCCAAGTTCATTTCCCAGCATCCATGTTAGATAGCATACAAGCTCTTTTCACTCCAGCTTTAGGGGATCCAAGGCCTTCCTCCAGCCTCTTTGGTGGTGATGCACACCTTTGATCCCAGTACTCTAGAAGCAGAGGAATTCAGAGCTCTCTGAGTTCAAGACCAGCCTGGTCTATAGAGTGAGTTTCAGAACAGCCAAGGCTACATAAATGAGACCTGTCTTTAAAAAAAAAAAAAAAAAAGGAAAGGTCAAATGGACAAAGCAGGGCAATCCAGGGAGAAAGGATGACATTGGAGTAGTAGGGTCTGATTGGCATAGGGCAAGGATGGCCAGAAATCTTGGGTTAAGGGGAAGATCTGGGGTACCATCCTGAGACTGAGGTGACTTTGACTTCCGGCTTGCTCCCAACTTCTAGGACATGCCTCGGTATCACGAGCTCCCCACCCTGGAAGAGCGGTCAGGACCCCTGTTGCTGGGGGCCACAGGCCTGGGACCTTCTCTTCTAGTGCCTACAGGACCCCCTGTTGTGGAGAGAGTTTCCCTGGGTCTCGAAGATAAGGAGGAAGATGATGAGGAGGAAGACTTCCTGGACAAAATCAACCCTATTTACGATGCCCTGTCCTACCCTAGCCCCTCTGACTCCTACCAGAGCAAAGACTTTTTTGTGTCACGGGCCATGTATGTGTGAGGCATAGGGGCTCTGACCGCCCGCCTTTCACTCTTGACCCCTCAGCTTTCCACCAGTGATCTAGAACACCCTGACTTCCAGCCAAGCCAGGGTCAGCTATCACCCATGCAATCCACCTGTGAATTCTTAGCGGCTCCACCATGACCTCCAGCCTGTGATTTCTGAGACAGACGAACCTGCATGACTGGAACCCTGGAAAGTTTATCTCCTGAGGCAGGGAGCTCAGAGGATCCTTCTGCACCACCCGTGACCCCTCACGGAGTCCTAAGACTGTGACCCTCTGACCATGCTACTTACCCAACCACCTATATCTCAACCACCCATAAAGTCCCAAAGAAGACTCTGGACCACAGACTTGTTCTCAGGCAATAGAGTCCACACAGGTCTGCAAGAATGGGATCAGGGGCTTCCCTGCTGCTCAGACCTGAGCCCTCCAGGCAGCAGGAGCTCCTGACCCCTCCCCACCCTATTCCCCAAAGGTGAAAAGGAGCTGACTCCCCAGTGTAAGGTAGGACCTCCCCATCTCCACCCACTCCTGCAGGCAGGAATCTCAGGGTTCACACCCTCTCCTCAAACCCAGCACCTCAGTTGCTGTTCTCAGAGTAGAAATCGCAGGCCCAGTGCCAGAGGGAAGAGCCTAATGCAAGTGTGCCTTGCCACCCCAGGTTTGGGGGAATCTGCTCTTGTCTTGAAGACTACTGAATCCTTTTAACGCCCATCCAGTGGGATGAGAACTACACATCCCTTTTTAGGGGATGGTGTGTGTGTGAGATGGGTTATCTGGGCATCTGGGTTGGGAGTTTGGGCGATATTATTTTGTAAGCATTTCCTACAAAATATGAGTTTATACTTTGATAAAGTCTTGTGTTTTCTGTGAGAAGTGAAGGGAGTTGGATAGGACATGAGTGAAATGAACGAGGGCCTGGAGCTTGGAGGGATCGGTGAGCTCTAAGTCGATACATAATAGACTCCCACCAGAAACGCCAGAGATGACCCAGAAATTGATGCGTAATAAGCAAAACTGCATCAACTAAAACAAACGATAGAGATGCAGGAGATCTCTAAGCTGCACACTGCTTGGAAACAGCTGCCTAATGACAGTAATAGAAACAGATAAACCAGTAATCAGCACGAGGGGCTGGGTTCAGTCAGCAGCTAATGGGCCAAGGACACTTAGGATGCTGAGGCAGAAGGATCGCCCACAATTCACGGTCAACGTGGTGTTACATGTTGGGGGGAGGGGGAAAAATAGGCCAGGGGGAAATTATTTTCAAAGAAGCCCCCAAGGCGTGGGGGCTAAACGAATGAGCCAGAGCCAAAGAGATAGGAGGAAACAAGATCCGTGGGCAGAATGGGCAATAGTCAGGAGGTAAAAGGTTGGAAAACAAGATGGGTTAATTAAAGGCCGGAAGAATGGTGAAAGTGAACAGGCAGAAATGGGCTAAACCGAGACTAGGAAACGAAGCACAATGAATGGATGAATGAATGCTGGGTAATGGGAAAGGAATGAATGGGCCAAAGATAGAAGCCACAGTGACGCGAGAGCCGACGGCACGATGGGTAAAAAAAAAGGGTGGGGGGTTCAAGGCAGCTGTTGCGTTAAGGCTGAAAGCGGGCACTACGGGTAAGTAGACGCAGGCCGGTTTTCACAGCCCTGGTTTGAAGCTCTCCCGGGGCACTGTGGGAAGGGGCAGCAGTTCCGGCTTTCCAATCGGCGACCCTGCCCCTCCACCGCGGTGCCTGTTGGGACGCGAGCGCTGACCTTGCTGCCTAGCAGCGTCTGCGGCGCAACGCACCTTTGCCCGTGTTCTTTAACCCTGGCACCTTAGCCAATGACAGAACCAACGTAATACGTCACCTGGGTCGGCTCTAGCCAATCAGAACGCGGGATGAGCCGAACTGCCAATGGTGACGCCGTTTGCTGCGGCGAGGCCCCGCCCCCCCGGGGAGGAGGGCGGGGCAATCAGCGTTAATCGTTTCCGTGCGCGCGGTGTCGACAAATAGCGAACTAGCGCCCGGACCCGCGGCGCCGCACGCCAATGGGCACGGGACAGACGAGCCAATAGGAAGGGCGAGGAAGCCGCGCTGATGGACTGCGACTAAGCACCAATAGAAATGGACATTTCAGCGAGGTCGGCGGAACTTCCCACCACGTCTCCAATAGGACTTCCAGCTGCTATGACTGTGGGCGGATCCCGGAGGACGCCGGCCCAATGGGCTCCACGGGGCGGGGAGACGGCCGCGGCGGCGGCAGCGGGTTAGGTTGCGCGTATCGCACGGGGTAGGAGCGGAGCCCGGGCCGGGAACAGGCGCCGCCGCCGCCGTCGCCAGTGAGCACCGAGTCCGAGTCGGGTGGGAAGTGACTCGGGCCGCATGCGGGCGTGTGCGTGTGTGTGTGCGTGCGTGTGTGTGTTTGGCCCCTGACCTCTGCCCTCTGACCTTTCCCCTCGCAGATACCATGGGGAACGTGTTGGCCGCCAGCTCTCCGCCCGCAGGGCCACCGCCGCCTCCTACGCCGTCCCTCGTGGGGCTGCCGCCGCCGCCGCCTTCGCCGTCGGGCTTCACGCTGCCGCCGCTCGGAGGCGGCCTGGGCGTTGGATCGAGCGCGGGCCGCGGTTCGGAACGGACTCCCGGGGCTGCGGCGAGCGGCGCTGCGGCGGCCTCGGACGATGGTTGCTGCGGCTGCCTGCCCAACCCGGGCACGTTCGAGGAGTGCCACCGGAAGTGCAAGGGTGAGGGACGTCGGGCCGGGGTCGCCCGAGGGAAAGGGGAAAGACCCCCGCAGGATTGGCGTGTGTCGCTGCGGTCACTGAACAGAACGTTAGGAGTTGAGGGTGAAATGGGACTCTGGGACCTTGAACTTGGGGCTCAGAACTGCGATCAGATGATGGAAGAATGCCACTGCAGGAGAGAGAGAAGCCTTGGAGCACTGAGAGCCCGGACACCAACCCCACCAGAGTCCGTAGTGTGATCAAGAAAGAAATTATAGCCCAAGGTCATGGTGTCAAGTGGTGTCCCCCAATGTACCCGTGAGAGCTGCAACCCAAGGGATCTGGATCCTGGCCCAGAATCATTTGATTATAAGAGGGGTACATTCTTACTTTTGATACTCAGACATGTGTTAACTTCTTAAGTGCTGGGCACAGTTCTGTGTAGTGCGGGCCCACCCACTCTAGGGATGAGAAAGTTTCCTGAGTACAGGTGACTGCACTGGGTCTCACAAACCGACAAAGGGCCTAGACCCAACCACTAAGTGGAGTTTGCTCTAGTGGGATTTTTTTCTGAGATGGTTCTGGCGAGAGCTTGGAATGAGAGGAAACTGCAGAGAATTTGGGGTGTGACAGCATCTTTCTTCTGCAGAGCTGTTTCCGGTTCAGATGGAGGGTGTCAAACTTACGGTCAACAAAGGGTTGAGCAACCGTTTCCAGGTGAGTTTTTCTGGTGCCTTGACCCTCCAGGGGTCATAGCAGCCATACCCCTGTGTGCATCCAGATCTTATGCAGCCACCTTCAAAGGACTACCTTCTCACCAGTAACCTTTAATCTCATCGGGTCAGGCCTGGTGTTTTGTTTTATCCCCTCCCTGGGCTGGAACCCTGGACATCAATGCTAAGTATGGCCTGTCACCTGCTGTTAGCTCGCCAGCCCCACACTGCTGGTTTTCACCCCCTAGCCAGCCCAAAAACTCTGTGTTTGCATCCTCAAATGGATACACTAGCCTTGCCAAGACTCTCCAACTCACTCTTTTTTTCCAGGTGACCCACACAGTAGCCCTTGGCACAATTGGGGAATCCAACTACCACTTCGGGGTCACATATGTGGGGACAAAGCAGCTGAGTCCCACAGAGGTAAGGCTCCTGTAGTGGGTCTAATAGCAATTCTTCCATTAAGGAACCTGGTAGTCTAGTGACAGGCTTGGGGTTCGGCAGTGAGGAGGTAAACAGCAGAGTGCGGTCAGTGGAGGTGTTGGGACACAGGTCGTTCCTTCCTGCAGCAGTATTCCTAACATACTATTCTTTATCTTTTCCTTGGCTGGGTGATGCTGGTTGCAAGGGGCTGGGGGACCAGCCAGTGGTGACCTGGATGCTGGGAGCCAGGTATAGGACCTGGAATGTCAAGCTCTGTGCTTGAATGTTCTCTAGGGGGCGCTAGAGAGCTCTGACAAGGGGAAAACAGGATCAGGTGGGTGCTTCAGGTCTGTTCTTCATGCTGCTGTAGCAGAGGGATGGATAATGGAGTGGGGAGTTCTGAGGAGGTACTGTTTTGGAGACAGGATCTCATGTGGTCCCAGGCTGGTCTTGAGTTGTGGCTGAGGATAACCTTAAACTGTCAGTCCTCCTGTCTTTACCTCCCCTAGTGCTGGGATTTCAGGCATAAGTTCATCATGTTCGGTTTCATCTGGTGCTGGGAATTGAACCTGGGCATGCTGGACAAGCACTCTCACTGACTGAACTACATCCTCAGCACTTGACCTGTGTGCAGATGCCTTGCAAAGGCCAGAACAGAGCATTTTGTCTGGAAGCTCACTGTTTAGACTAGATAGGCAGGCCAGCCAGCTCACAGGGCCCACCTTCTCTACAGTGTTGGAGTGGCAGGCCTATGCCTGATGCTTATACAAGTGCTGGGGATTTGGGCTTGGGTTTTCGTGCTTGGTGTAGGAGTTCCGGGACCTGATCCACCTCTCTAAGCTCTGGCTGAACTGGAAGGCCCTCTGTAAGCCAGGCTGGAGGTCAACTCCGAGGGCTTCTTGCCCTCTTGTCTGTCTCCCGAGTGCCGGGATTAGAGATGTGTGCCACCACACCTGGTCCTTTTTAAAATCAAAGTCACAAGTCTGGCACCACCACCTCCAGATCAGCAAGGAATGAAGGCCTCCCCTGGAGCTCAGTAGAGTAGCAAGGGTCCCTTCTTGGCTCAGCCCATTTGTCATAGTGCCCTAGTGTTGCCAGGCAGAAAAGGCCTGAGCTGCACTTGGAATTGCATTTGTTTGTTTGGGGTTGTGCTCTGGAGGGCAGAAGACAACCTGCAACAGTCATTTCTTTCCTTCCACTTTGTGTGCTCTGGGAATTGAACTTATGTCATCAGGCTTGGTGACAAGTGCCTATGCCTTCCCGCTGACCCATCTCATTGGCTCCTCAAGTGAAGCTGGTAGTTATCTAAGAGTTGAAGCTGCAAGGTGACGTAGCTTGTCAAGTCAAGTATGGACTGGCCTGTAATAGTGGAGAGAAGGAAGTTTAGAAAGACCGCCATAGAGGTCATGTGTTGCCAGCACAGAAGTGGAGCCTGCCCAACCCCAGCTAGGTGTCCTGACACATGCTTGTCATCCTAGCACCTGGGAAAGCTGTGGCAGAAGGATGAGTTCCAGGCTACGACGTAGCAAGACCTGCTTCCATAAATAAACAAACATACAAACCAAGACACAGGCAGATGGGCCAGACCTGTAATCCAGCATTGAGGAGGTCATGGGCAGCCTGAGTGACAGTAGCTAGTGTGGTGACTGGCTCTAGTCAGGGTGGTTCAAGCTGCAGTCAGCCTGGGGAGAGGAACTGAGAAAATGCCACCACCAGGCTGCCTGTGGAGCGTTTCCTCGACTGATGATGGAGGGGGGAGCGCCCAGCCCACTGTGGGCACTGCTGCCCTTGAGCTGGTCTTGGCTGCTCTGAGAAAGGCCTAAGCAGGCCAGTGAGTAGCACCTGTCTTTGGCCTCGGCTCCTGCCTCCACGATCCTGCATTCAGTTCCTGCCCTGATTTTCCTTGGTGATGAGCTGTGGTGTGGAGCTGTAAGCTGAAGGAAATCTTTGTTTCCCCAATTAGCTTTTGGTCCTGGTGTTTATTCCAGCAATAGCAACCTTAGTTAAGATAG